GGCCGACGGTTGCTCAGCTTGCCACACCATGATAACGCATTCTTATTGATAGGTTTGCGTAAAAAGTTCTTCACATGTCAGTGAATAATACAAGTTTATCGTAAGTGCACGCACCAGAGAGTAGCTAACGCTGGTGATCGATCAATCATTCGATCGATGCGTTATCACAGCAGTTTTATGATGAGGAGCGGCATCTGCGATGAAGTAGAATGATAGGGAAGCTTGGAGAAGAATATATAAAGAGTACATTGAAAACCAACTGTAAAGCTGAAGCAGAAAGCCAAGATATTGATTCAAATAAAATTTCGCGACTGAAAGTGAAAAGAAACCGCGCATTAAAATGATATTGAACTTTCAGATAGCCCACTGCACGGAGGAACAGAAATAAGTGTTCAGATTGTACAAATAGTTGAAACTCAGCACTGTAGGCTTGATGCATAATCCCCAATATTTATATTTTATCGGTTTTCTGATTGTTGGCAGCGCGAGAGAGGAGAAAATCTTCATTTACAAAAATTTTAACGCTTCAGTGCAAATTCGAAGAGAAATTGTTCTATGACAATCACCGGTGCCAATTCAGTGGAAACAATGGAATTACTGTAAATAAAAATATTACTGCTTCATTGTTGCCAGCCATGGAATCAGAAGACGTATAAAGTCATTGCAGGCAGGTATGTGATTTACCTCATACATTTAATCTCCTTTTATGTGCAATTAATATATGCTTACCTGAACGGCTCCTTCAACAAATAATTTCTAAAAAATAATGATGGAGAATAGCAACATCTGAAGTTTAGGAAAGTGATAATTTGTTAACATTGCAATACAGAGCCAGTAACGAAATTTATAGATAAATTTAATGATGAAATTTACTAAAGTGACATTGACACAGCGGTAGATGAAGATTATCTTATGGTACTAATGGATCAGATATATTGAACGCGAATATCTTATTCAAAAAATTGTTGATTTAAGATGGATATGAATACGGGTTTTAATGGCGCTAAGGAAGTATTACCTAACAAAGGAAGGGGCTAACAAATGGAAATGTGGTCAAGGTATCTGACTCAGCAGAGCAAGACCAACATAGAATGCATGAGCAAATATTTTATACATCGATAAGATATTAGTTTACAAAATGCAGACTGGCTAGCAACTCCCAAACCGCGGCTTTCATTGATGACGACAATATTGTAACTGTCCTAAACGTCAGCTTTGTTTGTACTTACAGTAATTCAATTAGGAGACTGTTATTCCTTACACAATAGCTTTTATCCTTCTTCTGATACCGTAACATGATTTTCTGATAAGATCTTACAGAATAGTACCGAAATATCATATGAAAGCAGATCCATTTTTTTAAATAAGGAATGCAATAGATTTTGTTATAAACGCACAACAGAATGTCTGCGTCGTAAAAATCTCGCGCTAATCGAAAGATCTTTTCTTCAGAAGTAGTCTGCATGGTTTGATGGACAAAAATTAGAACTACCGATGGTTCATGCCTTTATTGTATTGCCAACCTTTCAGTCAAACAATAATGTCAACTTTTGTGGAAGGGGTAGGGAAAACTTTGGATTGCCCTGACAATTAAGCCAAAGTTGCCTGAACATAAACCTGGCATTAAGGTTAAGGCCTAACCCATCCACTGATTGTTGCTTGAGGTGGGAATTTCTACTCCGCTGAACAGACTTCATCTCCAATCTTCTGTCTTCTACAGCGCTGAAGCGAGTTATACTCAAAAAGCAGAGGAAACAATGCCGCATCTTCATTTCGAGTTACGTAGGTATGTTGCGCTGTACCACTAAATGCCTGGGTTTTGACTGAGAGTTAACACTGAGCAAAGCTATAATCATAATATTAGGACAGTGTCGCGAAATGAATGCTCCAAGTCGAGCAGGGACTTCGAAAATACAAAACCGGCGCCAATGGAGCAGAAACAGAATGGAACGTTGGAATAGTGTAATGCAAAAGGCTCTATCACTCGTAAAACGCGACGAAAGGTGAAAAATGATTACCTTAAAGCCAGTTTGATGGGAACACTACGTCTACGAATAACTACATATGCAGTATAGCTAATGACACGCATTGATTTAAGTTAAGTAATGAAGTAAGCAAGATTTACTTTTAAAATAAAATGGAACATATCGATTCTATAAGGAAAAGATGTGAAATGTCAAAATTTGGCATTGTTTCACACAAATCTGGTAGTTATGGATAATCATAGTTTTGTTCATTAATTTAAAACAAGTAGATAGCTACTTGGGAATTCGCTGTTCCCCATAATTGACTTTAATTGATAGACAGCTACGCTTAGAAAATGTTAAGACAGTAGTGATGTCAGCTTCTTATCTTACTCTGTCATTTGCCTCGTTTACAATGTTCGTTTTTGTGACAGCAATAAAATAAGTGTGAGAACTGACAAATAGCTGTTGAAAATGAGATCAAAAATCATCAGAGATATTGCCAGATTTGTTTTAGTAAACGATGAAAAAGACCTTCAGAAGGAGAGCCTCGCATGATCGTCAATAGAATTTAGACCAGCGCGCAAACCTGCAGCTCCTATCGTGCATCCGTACCTGTGTTAACGTCATTTTCGTGATGATGGCAAGCATGATTTTCTCCCCTTTCGTTGGGTAGGGGTTCTTGCGATGTTCGTAAAGCCATGCCTTCAGTGCGGCCGTGGTTTCACGAGTGGCGTTCTTACGGCGAACAGCATTTAGGTCTAGTGGGTTGGCAAATCTGGTGATAGCATGTGATGATTTTAAAGCAGAACCTATTTGCAAGCGTGCAAAGCACTCACCTGTCTGCTGAGTAGTGATATGCCGCAGAAAAGCTTGGGTCCAAGTAATACGCGGTAGGCAGCAATGCAGTGCCGTGCTGGAACGCAGCAGCAGACGATAGTGCATCAGCATTTTTCAGCTGTTCCAGATGGAGAGCCTGGAAATTGTTCCTTTTCTCATTTTGCAGCCGTAAGCTAGCGCTTGGTAATTAGCAGCCCGTAAAATGTGACCTGTCACTTACCGTTGTAGGATTGTTGATGGCTGGAGAATAGAAGCCAAGTGCCGTGAAGGCTGCTGGATATCCCTTGAGTGGGTCGATGATTGACATGGATGCCGCAGCAGCAGCTATTGCCGGATCCATTCGCGAAGGAGACAGAAAACCGTGATTTGCCAAACTGTTGGATGATGATGAAAGATCACGACCACTCTGTAGACCAATAGCTGAGGCGTTTCCTGACATGGTTATTGTTGAGCCGGTGCTGGACACTGATTCTGAACAGTGACGTTGTGCTGTAGGTGCCGGAGGTGCCGGAGGAGACTTGGCGGCGACGAGAGAAGCAGCCGCCGCGGACGAAAGAAGGAACTAAAGAAACGTGTAATTACACGCCACGTACATGTTCGCCATCGGCGAGTGTTGGCGCCGCGTGCGCTGGCCCGGCCGGTGATGCATGATCGACGCTGGCGACGTGAGGTGCATTTCAGCCGAGCTGCTAGTAAGGAAACGAGGAATAGCGCCGCGCCAACTCTCTTACCTGCGGATAGACGAGAGGGGAACCATACGGAAATGTTGATTGGCCGAAAGTGGACATGACGAGTTACAGCAAAGGTGTCGAGCGGCACTGAGGCAGCGACGTGTAGCAACAACCGCAGACGAGCTCTGATGTCGATCAGGCAAAGACCAAATGGGCGCTGTCACTGGCGACGGCGACGGCAACGGCAACGGCAAAATGCACTTTCGCTACGATTGCGTTAATTCTTGCGATTGCGTTGCGTACGCGTTGCGGAAGCGCCGAGTGTTTCTTGTTGCGAAAGGTGCAAGTAGTTCGTCATGCTACGAATCGACTTGTCACTGCACTACAGACGTCACGCTGGCATCAAATCATCTTCGTAATGTCTACCAACTGTTTGCATTCATTGGCGGCTGTCTTTGTTGCTCATTTTTCATTGGACTAAAGCAATAAACAGGTTTCACGTGACTCGCTGCGACGAAACCCCGCCTTTCGCAAGGCGCTCGATCGAAAATCTCGCTCAACGGTGAACAACGGCGACAACCCTAAATCTGCACTGCAAGATGTTAAAATCCATTATAAACTTGAACTTGTGTAAGCACTTTCGACCGGTTGTGATCAATCGTCGCGCGGGTTTTCACTTATACAGTTGGCATG